AATATATATATATATATATATGAACAAATTAGGTACACCGATCATAATTGGTTCTAGCCTATGGACCTAAACCCCTTTAGACATATAGGGCCAAAAATCAGCTTTCATAAAGTTGAACAACATATAATAAACAATTGTTTTAACATCCCTTTTTATTTGAAGGGTAACTAACAAAGACACATTTGATTGCCCTCAGATCTAATTTACCTCTATGAGGACAATGTGAATGGACAAAAGCAACACAACCAAAAACGTGACAAGGTAAACTTGACATCAATGGGGAAGAAGGAACCATTGTAAGAATTCAATAATGCTAACACCATTAAAGACTCTAGCGGGTAATCTGTTTATGAGATAGGTGGAGGTTAGGACAACTTCTCCCTAGAAAGTGTTAGGAACAAACATTTGAAAGAGTAAGACTTTGGTAACTTCTAGGGGAAGATGATTTTTTCTTTCTGCAACTCCATTTTGTTGAGGGGGGTATTAACACACGTAAGTTCATGTACAATACCATTCTCAATGATAAATTTAGATAACTCATGATTTGGATATTCTGTACTATTATCAAATCTTATTCTTTTTATGAACTTACCAAATTGATTTTTAACAAGATGGAAGAAGTTGACAAATATTTGACCAACCTCAGATTTGTTTTTCATTAGGTATGTCCATGTTACCTGTGTACATTCATCAATAAATGTCACAAACTATTTAGCACTAGAGATAGATTCCATAATAGGACCCCACACATCGGTGTATTAAATCAATTGGGAAAGAACTCTTATTACCACTAATTGGAAAAAGAAGAACGATGGTGTTTAGACAACCGACAAATATCACAATTAAATGATTCAACAAAAACTTTTGTGAACAAATGTCGAAACAAATATTTAATAAGACTAAAAGGAGGATGTCCAAGCCTCTTATGTTGAAGCCATATTTGAGAGGTAGCCCAAGTATTCGTCTTCTCATGGTGACTTAAGGTTGATTCCATGTTCTTATCACCATTCCTTTTTTGCTCTAGGTAGTATAACCCACCTTGCTCTTTAGCAATTAAAATCGTCTTTCCTGTGGCAATTTCCTGAAAGGAAAGGAACAATGAGAATGAAAGAACGTTACTGAACAATTCAAGTCTATATGAGATTTTGTATAGAGATAAGATTGTTAGCCAATTTTGGGACATGTAAGACATTATGTAAGAAAATTGAGGGTTCAATTTGAATGCTTCCAGAGCCAATAATAGGGACATTATTTCCATTAGCAACTATAATGAATTGTTTGATGTTTTTTTTGGAATATGATGCAAAGCGTGAAGGAAAGGGAGTCATATGATTTGATGCTTTAGAATCAAGAATCCAAACTCCCTGAGAAACGAAGCCAGAAGTATTGAAAGTACTTTTACCCATAGTAGTCAATCCCGGATAGCGGAGCGGTTAACCCTAAAAACGGGATAGCGGGATGACGCAGAGCGGGATAACCGCTATTTTAATATTAATTTATATATATTAAATAATTAATAATATATATATA